TGTGCTGCCTTTCAGTCCTCATACGATTAACGGAGTTCTGCGAGGCATTTAATTATTAAGTACAGAGAAAATCTAACAAAAGGAAAACAAATGAGGATCACGAAACCGTGCAGCTCCTCTAAGCTATCGGAGACTGTCTCCTGCTAGGAGTAGTAATTAGTTAGCAGGGGAAACCGTAGCACACACAACACATCCACAATTACCTTCCTTCAGCAAATTAAATTTCCTCTATCTGAACACATGGTTTGAACAAAAACCCTAAGCCAGCAGTTTTCCTATTGAAGTGGGAAATCCTGTCACCGCCAACCATGTTGTATAAATGCTGTAAGCATTGCATGTGCACTATGTATTAACCTAGTGAACTAAAAACACTATTTAAATGTAATAATAACCAAGCAGTTTTCAATTCTATATAAAAGTCAGATCATAATTCTAAATAACGAACAAGTACATTGGGTACGTTCCTGTGAACGACTTCATGTACATACTCCGTCATTTTACTTCCTGTTTTATTGATCAGTGGCCTAGAACAGTTAAATCCTAGTATTATTACATATAGTGCAACAAGCTTGCCTCTTAATTCATCTGTGTCTGGACTTATGTATTTGGAACTTAAGTGTTTGTCAAGTGTAGGTTATGAATGTTGTGGTTGACATGATTATTCACACATCCTAAGAAAGGACTTTAAACACCACTATATACAGTGGCTCAGTGACTGGTCCTGCTCACTGATCAATTATACATGTGTTCTAATGTAAAACCTACACTGCTGCTTTTCTTTAAAACATAAAAATATGTTAATTATAATCCTAACGTATACACCACTAACCTATAGCAAATATCTCTAAATTAAGAATACCGAACAACAACAAAAGATTATGAATGTCTCATGACTATTTCCTTTACTGACAAAGTTTTTGGTTCTCCTTTGATATTTTCGTGTATTTCTAAGACCAAATTCCTTCTTATTATCAATCATTTCATGAAGGGTCACATCCTTAACATACTTTATGGTCCTGAACTATTCTCATTGACCTTTACTCATTCAAGGGTCAGGATCTTTACACAAAGGGTGCAAGACCTTCACACATTCAAAGATAATGACCTTTAATATAAACATTCAAAGATCATGATAACATGACCTTCACACATTTAAGGGTCATGATCATGAACTTACACATTCAAAGGTCATGACCTTCACACAATCAAAAATCATGACCATACACATTCAAAGATAATGACCTTTAAACATTCAAAGATCATGATAACATGACCTTTAAACATTCAAGGGTCATGACCTTCACACAATCAATAATCATGACCTTACACATTCAAGGGTGAAAGACCTTACATTTACTCATTCAAAGATAATGAACGTAAACATTCAAGGGTGATGACCTTAACACATTCAATGATAATAACCTTTAAACATTCAAGGGTCCTGATCATGAACTTACACATTCAAAAATTATGAACTTACATATTCGAAGGTCATGACTTTCACATATTCTAGGGTCATGACCTTAATTATACATTTCATTCAAAATATAAAACAAGTACTTTTTTATATACTTGTACTAGCTATCGACCTTAAAGGAAGCCTACCGTATGTTCATGTTTATACTGCTGTACACAAAGCGACTACAAAACCCAACAGCATAAAGCCATCAATAGCTTCACTGTGAGGCTTGGCAAAACATCACACATAACACATTCTTTTTACCTCAATCAATCAGAGCTTTCATAGTCTTTTATGTACATCATTACAGATTATAAATCGTTACTCTACTGGCACAGTGTTAGGTACCTTACTTATCCTAGAGGACAACCTTCAAAATCTATCTGATGCAATTTTCCTGATGACAGTGACTAATAATCAATAGATGACAGAGTTGTAGGTTAATGACTGTTATGAATAGGAACATAGAAATGAAAACGGGTGTTTAATCTTCATGTGTAGGGTAAATATGGTGTAGGGTAAATATGGTTTTGTAACTATATTTTAGAAATGAAGATGGGTGCTCTTTTCCTGTGTAGGGTAAATACGGTTTGACATCATGTAGTGGAAATGAAGATTGAAGACTTCTTGGATTGTATGGTGAATATGGTTCTGAAACTATGCAGGATAAATGAAGATAAGCATTCTCTTGGAGCCAGGATAGGCTAATGGCAATGACGCCAAACATGGAGCAGAAATGAAGATACATGTAGTTTTGGACAATTTTGGTAATTACAAAATGCATGGAGAAATAAATGACGATGGGGGTGCTCTTTTGGATTGCAGGATAAATGTGAAAATGACACTACAGTCCGAGCAGAAATGAAGAATTGGGTGCTCTCTTCCTATTTAGGATAAATATGGCTATGACCTTTGACTGTGATCACCTTGTTAGAGAATGATGAAATACTGGTGACTAATCTAGTTTGATGTCCGGGAAGGAGGGTTCAAAGACCTTGTCACATCTGATCACCTATTACAGAATAACCACAAGGAAGAATGGGGCACTGTATGTAACCAATAGTCAAGGATTGTGACGATGACAGTTTCATCTATGCTAGAGTACCAACCTTTTTAAAAGAAAGGTCTCAATCAAGTTATACTATTGGTACTGAATAGATGTAAGACATCTGTCATATATTTGGAAGTGCCCTAAATTAAATTTGTTTCAATTTTCTCTTCTTGGGGAATGCGTCAACATGAGCACTGCATTATTTCATTTCATCACCCAGAAAGACATACTGATATTATTCGTAATAGTCTTGAATGGCAGATGAAATACACAGTGTCAGAACATTGATAACCCAGACCTCTTTGTATTAAGAACATTGATAACCCAGCCTTCTTCGTTCTCAGAACATTGATAACCCAGCCTTCTTCTGTCTCAGAATGTGTGGCCAAACTGCATCAAAACAGCTAGATTACCAAGACAGTTTGTATAAAAAAGATTCTATCCTACTCCCCTAAAACACTGGCTGACTTTAGCAGGAAACACACTAAAAGTGGCGGCTACATTGATGAGATCTGACTACATACTAGTAGATATATAGCAAACTGAAGCCTAAAGTGGCATTGGCAATGTTATTTACAAGCTGCTACATTATTATGATTGATTGATGGTCAGCTTGACCTTTAACCTTACATTGGCTGTATAGTACCCAATATTTTCACCACCCTGTTATAGACAATGCCACTTTGGTCAGTGGCCCAAGTATAGTTGGTCAGTTATGACCATGTCACAATTACATCGCCATATTTACATATAAGGCTTTCAGCGATGAAGGTCAGTGGCCCGTCGTGTTAAGACCAGCTTTTTCGTGTAGGCGAAAATCTTTCGTTAATTAAATTGATCTAAATTGGCGGCAATAAAAGGTTTCCTACAAGCTAATTTACTTGCTACTTGCTGTCTGCTATGTTTGACCTTCTTGTTTTTTGTTATAGACAGAAGACTGAGACCATACATGACACTGGGGAATAAGACATTTTGTAGAAAGGTAACGAATGCAACAGCTTGGTTCATTCTGTCTATTGGGACAGAGATACATAATGATGCAGTATACTTTCAACAATTTACTGGAATAAAAATTTCAAAACGTTATATTTACATAATACATCATGCTTTGAGAATCTTATTATTTTTCTCTGAATCTAATCTATAAAATATTGCAGCGATTGTTTCTTTTTTGTGTTAAATAAAATGACTTACACTGAATGTCTGTTTCTGTTTTGTAATCAATACAAAGCTGACTGCATCACACTATAGTGTTGAGGAAAAACCATTGTTCACCATCTTAGGCACAACTTACAGGAAATTGTCAATATTACTTAACTTACAAGCATCTCCATTGATCATTTTAAGTTATCACAGCAGACAGATCTAGCTCCTCTGGCACAAGGCCTGCGTAACACGAAAATTAATTATCATGAACTCTTTTTTTCATTTTCCTCTCCACAATGTGAAATTTCATCTATAATCATTAGTGACAATCATAGTAGCTAGTAATATCCTCGAAAAAGGAAAAAGGAAATGCATAATTCATGGAGACAGTTTGACCCGTGGTGGGGAGAGAGGTGGGTAAATAATAAATAAGGCTACACTGGAGTAGTCGACACCTCTGACCGGCCGACCCTCACACCTGTAACGGCGATTGCGTCGGTTCCCAACAGACAGGCATTATGGGTAAAGCCTTCACTACCTGGGTCATGACACGATAGCATACCGATCTCATCAACGTCCCGATTCCCTTTTCCTTCATCCTACATCAAGCTTGAGCAGTGGTTTTCTAGCAACTTTTTAATTAACTCTTTTAGGTCACCATATATATATACATATCTGGAGTCTCTGTTCTGATTCATTCTCAACTGATACAGGAAAACATTGTTCAGTTAAAAAATGTTTTCCCTTGTTTTTCAAACTACATTTTGAAAACTTGCTTTTTGAATGTTTCATTGCGTACCTGATGTACTGACTGTCTGAATACCAATGAAAGCTTTATAAATCCTTGGTTAAACAACATTAAACTTACAGCAAATGGTATCTTTTTTGTGTGTGAGAGAACGTTTACTCTTTTTCCTTTGCATCTACTGCTACTGAATATGATTTCTAATACAGTTAAGTTTTTCACAAATCTTTGGTTTAAGACAGTTCTTATGTAGGATGTTATCAAAATCTGTCCCCAGAAAGATTTTTTTCTTTTTGAATTGTGTGTCTCCTTTCAATACATGCCAAATGCATCATGATCCTGTTGTGGCAGCCGTATACTTAGAACATCTGATTCATTATCAATGGTAAAAGTACATATATAAAACCCACTTCTTGCAAGACCATGCAGCAAGCCTCATCTTATGTCAATATTGTGAACGTGACAAAATACCAACAACATTTCAAATAGCTCACACCATTTCCCTAAACATAAAACTTACTTCTTTAAATCGATTTAAATAAATCATGTATATATATACTGCAGCCTCAAAAAGTCTATGACTGATGTATGTGCATTACCTGGTCCTGTGAGACCGCCGAGTCTCCCCGTGCATTGTTCTCCTGGTTGGCAGTGGTTTTTTCGTTTCTACATGCCGTGTGGTACTCTTTTTTGGCAGCTTGTAGCTTTGTATACTTCTTCTCCCAAGGTTTTTGGGCCTGAAATACACAATGACAGTAATTAAGATACAACCTTTATCTGACATTACCTGTTTAAAAAGACAGTACTCTCTCACAAATATCTCGCCAATACTCAAAATATTCCCTTCTCACGGAATCCATGGGATAATTATCTCCCCTTGTCGTTTCTTATTCAAAGCATTCTCCTACGATGAACTTTATTGGAGATTGAGTCCATGCCATTCATTAAGTACCCAGGGGAAGGTCTGTACAAATATATACAATACTTGACATCATAATTAAGGACACTTGGTGCTTGTAAATAACAAGTGCAGCATCTTTAAAAAGACACAGTTTACTTCAAGCAACATATACATAAACCTCATAATTTGACCTGCATCCCACCCTTGCAGAAATGTAATGGTATCCTATTCCCCTCTGAATTAATTTCCCAGTCATATAACTGTTAACCTTTCTAAGTGAATCGATTATTTCAATGTTACAGAAGATAACATTCCAGTGAAGATCAAATTAAGTCCTGTTACAGCACATTTCCGTAGTGGAATCTCAGTAATTTACAAAACAAAACCGACAACTTTCAGAAATTATGAAATAGAGCACAGAAAATAAAAGAGGAGCATTCAAGTTGTATCTTTAAAATCACTGGGGTCGACTTCATAGGAACAGGTAAAATTATTATATCAAATACGGTACATACCTCATCTTGACAATTTATAACACTGTAGATATATACTCAACACAGTACCCTAACAAATTATCATAGGCTATGTTTACAAACTGCCATATTGACCTCCAAGTCTTGTGACCGTTAATAAACCTCTTACATGACTCGTCCCAAGACCTATAATATTATAAAAGTTGCTGCTACATTTTGTATGTGTAGACATTGTATATCTCTGAGACGTATTGTATACACCCTCTAAATATACTACCGGGCCAGTCAACTGACACTATTCATATACTGAAAAGTTGAAAGAATTTATTTCCATATCGTATTTATTTTTATCTTTTGTTTTCAATGATATATACTCGGCACAACTACTACTATCCCAATGTTTACCATGTGGCCCTAATGTATTGCCTTGTGTAGATGGATCGTTATGACTTAACAAATTGTTAACTTCGCAAATCTGTTGTTGGACAAATTCACATGAAAGTTATGACTGATAACGATTTACATCCATTTGAGAAAGTTCATTTTAACACAATCACCCCTTAGATCACATTTGAACCTTACCAAATCAAAGACTGTGCAAGTCCAGTTTAAATATGTAGGGATGAATGAGTTAAAGTATAATCTAAAAGCTTCCATGGGTAGATAATCATATTATTTGAGAATTGTAAGATAAGCTTGGAAGAATACACATAAATCAATAGATATATCATTATGTGTCTATAAAATGTTATAAATCTTAATTTATCAACGTCTATAAAATGATACATTAAATTTGTATAAAAATATTTCAGTTTAAAACATTTCTATGTATATCCCTAATGTTTATGGTATGTCTAACAATGTGTAGTGGAGCTAGATATAAAAACTTTCTAACGACTTTATGATGTCCCTAATGGTTGACATTTCCTACACAATATTATGTGTGCTCGGCCTGGTCAGTACACAGATCTACGTGATCGTGTGTAGGCTCTCTTTACTTACATTACAGGACTGGCTAACTACATCTTGTCAGATCTATCTATAAACAGTAGTACTAAGTGAATCCCTGAGATCTAGTTTAGCCTCGGGGACAGACATACAATCGGTACACCACTGGAATCTTGTCCATATTGCTCCCTATCATAAGGCTTTCTGTTTCTCTGTCTTACATCCCTTAGGAATATTTTCTGTTGCTGTTTAACTTATTCACCCCTATAATTTCATAATGCACAAGCCCAACCTTTGAATTGGAAGAGTTAAAATGTGTTTTAAGGGGTGAATGAGTTGTGCATCTTGTATAATAGCTATATATGCATTTATGTACATGTAATTATATAAATTGCTAAAGGGATTTTTTAGTGTCAGTGCAGTAACATCAGTTTGAGGGTATATACATTTTAAAAAGAATAGTATACAAAACTTAACATTGTCTATCCCTGAGGACCGAATCTATTTATTCATTTTTTTTTGTTTTGTTTTAAAAGCATTTGGTATCCTTTTTCTCTTGAGGCAGCATACACATGCTACTTTGAAGAATCTATTATAGATTTATCGATATCATTGATTCTACCAAACAACTTAATTGTGAAGTGGTCCACAACCATCAGAAAAGCATGGACCAAGGCTAAAAAGTTGTTGTTTTTTTGTCAACTGAAAAGCTGGGAGACTGACTATGGGTTGTAGAATGATCTACATTTACTGCAAATGGGAACAGCATCTTGGAAAGTAAATTATCAAAAGACTGAAAAATCTCCCTCCATGGGACTGCAATCTTATATCATCATTTCACTAACAGCACTAGTACATATACTAAAAAACACTGGCTATGTGGACAACTAGAGCTCTGAAATCAGGGTAAATTCTGGCTTTATGGGTCTGACAATGACTGAGAAACCAGGACAAGTTCTGGCTATGTAGGCCAGTATATGACTGAGAAACCAGGAAGCACTGGGTCTATGGACCAATGACTGAGAAACCAAGACCAGTACTATAGAAAAACCAGGAAGCACTCAGGGTCTATGGACCAATGTACTATAGAAAAACCAGGAAGCATTCAGGGTCTATGGACCAATGACTGAGAAACCAAGACCAGTACTATAGAGAAACCAGGAAGCACTCCGGGTCTATGGACCAATGACTGAGAAACCAAGACCAGTAATATAGAGAAACCTGAAGCACTGGGTCTATGGACCAATGACTGAGAAACCAAGACCAGTACTATAGAGAAACCTGAAGCACTGGGTCTATTGACCAATGACTGAGAAACCAAGACCAGTTCTAGATCTAAGGCCCGGTCATGGTTACTTTGAAACCTATGGACTAATTCATCAGTACAGCTGAAGCCTAGAGGATTACTACAAATCAGGTAGAGTCAAATGGCTGAATAACCTTCAGGGGTGTAAAATTCCATACAAACCTCAGACACCCAGGGCTATAGTAGATTTTATGTCATGGATAGCCAAAATTTACAATGTTTACAATAAATATATAGGTAGGGCTAGCGCTTGTAAAATTCTTCAAAATCTTCCTCTGGGCTTATGCTCTCTAAATATGAAATTGTACACTTCTGACCTTCAAGCTTAGGAACTCCTTGTTAAATTTACTGATATATAATATTAATAGATTTTTGTTGTAACCATCATCTTCCTGATACTAATGGCACTGACTGACAGGTATATTGAATTTCCCATAACTCTTACAGAAGTGCCTCCTCTACTTAAATCATTCTGAAAGATTTCAGGAGAATTTGGTGCATGGAGACCTGCCATCAACCAGCCTCCATAAAAGCCATTTTCCACAAACTGCCAAGTTTAACATTATCGTGTGGCATTTTGAAGTTCTACCAATAACCTTTTAAACATTGATGTCCTGTATGAATCTTCATTAGCTCACAGGGGATTTTCTAAACCATTTTGTAGATAGAAAAGTAGGCATAATTTTCTCCATAAATGAGCTAAAATTTCCTCAAATTTGTAAGGGTAAATTCCAAAATTGTTTCTGAGATATAATTCTAGTGCTGAGAAGATTGTTTGTTAGATTTTATTTTTGACAGTGTCCACAAAAAAATATCACCTGGAAATGGAAATTAAATAATAACTATAGAAATATGTTGGTAAGACACCATTGCCCGGTTTGTATACCAAACTTCAGAACTAAAGCAAGGTCATTGAGGCCAAGGTCAAAGGTCTAGGTTAATAAAAGTAGCAAACACACTGCACTCAGACAGAAGCATTGCCATGTAGGGTTGTGTGGCTCTAGCTCCAGTACTTGGTCCAGTTAACTTACCTAAATGAATTAAAAACTTAACCAAGGTCAAAGAGGTAAAGATCAAAGGTCAAGATCACAGAAATGTCATGTGTATATGTGATGTTGCACGACATAAATGACCTAAACAAAAACTAACCCAAGGATAGGGTAACCACTAAGCACCACCACATCATGGCTGGGCATACTAATTAAAGTATAAGCTTTACAGAGACCCAAAAGTTTGATCTACATGGAGGGTAAAATTCACATGAATTGTAGACGAGCTATATAGTAAGGTCAGGAGATAAATTACTTCAAAGATATAAAAATCATCATCTCATCAGTAATTAGCATAATGGGAAAACAACAAGAACTAATCACACCCTTTCTTAACTTCTATCACAAAAACATCCATATACATACACAAATTACACAGCATGAGGTATATATGTTAGAAGTAGATTTCTCAAGCCAAGCATGTGAATCTTCCTGGGGCTAAAAAGTTCAGCATTAGGAAGTGTTAAGAGTATTTGTATGTATCTATACAGGAAGTACAGTGAAACTGTCTAATCTGGCACCCAGTGGAAAATATTTGTTAGATGAGCCTGTCTGATATGACACCCTGTGGGTATATTTGTTAGATCAGTCTGTCTAAACCGACACCCTGTGGGAAATATTTGTTAGATCAGCCTGTCTAATCTGACACTATGTAAGAAACACATATCGGTTAGATAAGCTCGCCTAATCCGACACCCTGAATTCCACCTTTCTTTATCCATATGCATATTATTTCACCAAACATGGCTATTTACTGTTTAAATTTTAAAATGTGGCACTATTTTAAGCATGTGAAATGTAGGAATTTGTTGCATGGTAACTTTCATGTGAAATGCAAGAATGTGTTGGCTGGTAACTTTCATGTGAAATGCAAGAATGTGTTGGCTTGATATTTTTTAGACTTCAGAAATATTGCACATTGTGTGTAGCTGGTATATACACTAAAGACACACATAAAAGGTATAAAATTCCCTTCTGTGGAGAAGTTGAGGCCCATCAGTACTTAACTTTCCACCTGAGTTTTATTGAACCATTGAATATCTAAAGTTTCAGTCAAGAT